CCTGATATATACCCAAAGTTAGTTGCTGGCCTGCTTAGGGCATGACTAGGCCTGCTGCCTGCCGGCTTACGTATCGTATACGTAATTCAGTATTTTATGCTAATGCAGTTTGACACAAGCAGCTAAATGATCTGGCATTTGCGCAATTAACACCCGACAGCTACTCGCTCAGCTTCATTCATAATTTGCACAGTCTGCAACATCAATCAACTACCTTAAGCGAGCTTTTGCCAATGGCACAACTTCTGCCCGCCTGTCGCACGGCGCTCTCCGCTCGTCTGTCGATGCTTCTGGCGTGCTTTGTGCCAACAATGAAACTTTTGAATCAATTCAAGTTGTCCAAACTTAAATCCGCGCGCTGCAGCGCCAGCTTTGCACTCAATTAAGTGTGTAGCAGGAGGCTGAGGAGGGTTGGAAGGGGAGGGGGAGCTGTGCTGTGCTGTGCTGTGCGTGTTGCGCAGCAACAGCAGCTAGGAAAAACAATTTTGTTGCTGCTTGGAAAAAGTGAAGCAAGCAAATCCACTTCAACGGCAAGTTAGTGCCAACAATTGCAGCAGCAGCTGCCACGTCAGAAGTTGCCACTTTCTTGCCAATAGAAACCCGCCAAGCCCCTCCTTAGCCGTCTTCTCCTTGCCTGCTGCCCCCCTTCCTGCTCCATTGCGTTGCCCGTTATGTACGTGAGCTGGCAAAGTTTTGGACCCTTGTTGCCGCCATTCGTTTCTCGTTGCTCTTCGACTTCCGGCTGATTGACTTGCATCGAGTTGACTTAGCACAGCTTCTCTTTCCTGGTCTCACTTGAAGGATGCATCCTCCAGGTCTGGCAAGCGACAACGACGGCACTTGGCAATGGCTGCGTAAACTAATTTTCCATGTCGTCACTCGATTGTTTTAAAAGCCAACTTTGCTTTTGTTGACGCACACACTCACCTAAACACACACACAGACACCTACACCCACCCACTCACACATATGCTCACAATCGTACAACTTCTCTGGTCTGGTCATAAAATATTTAAAGTTTTCTATGCGATGGTCCATACGCTGCTCGTCTGCCGATACTTTCCGCTCCATTGATGTCGTTTAATGCAGTTTTTGTGTTACGCCTAAAACATCCTGCGATTGACCTGAACTTTTTCTATCGCACACAAACAAGTAAACAATTTGGTATTCCCATTAGGCGCATTAGACGTTCGCACAAAAATTAATTAAATAATAATCGTGAATTGATAAATCTATGGAATGTATCGAATTTTGGCTATTTTCGTCTGTCTGTTGTCTGCGTTGCGGCATTTCCGCTTTTGTGTGTCTGCCACAGGCATTTCCGCAAAGTATTTTGTCTTGCGGCCTTCTGTGCTGTGATGGATAATGGCATTTTCTGTGAAACGGAATCCGCTCGAGCTCAATTCCCTATGCACACTTTGAGTTCTCATCCTCCGGCTGCGACAACTTAAGTCTGGTGTTTCTGGCTGTGTCTCTTAAATTGTTACATCAATTAATGCACAAGTCATTGTCAGTTGTCATGTGCATTATAAATGATTTGTGAGCGTGAGCAACTCTTCATTAGCTGTCGCACATGCCCCGAGGCTGTGCATTTATGGGTCAAATGTTACGACCTCATTGGTGGCACTCCTCCCTCCACTTAGACAGGCTTTGCTGCATATTGATTTCGAGTGCGTGTGTGTGTGTGTGGGAGGGCGATAGAGCGAGGGCGGAAGGAGTGTGTTCGCACACTTCAGACTATTTGCAGTGGTTTCATTTCATTGCATTAGACGAGTGACTGCCACGCCCGCACAGCTGTGGTGTCGATGCTTAAATATTCATTGGGCTTAACTTGGGCATGTGGCACAGAGTGAGAAAGAGAGAGAGAGAGAGAGAGAGAGCAAGAGCGAGTGAGTGGCTGTAAGAGGCAGAGAAGTCACTTGCAACGCTTTTATCAATTATCAATTAACCTAAATTTTAGCATCTACGTTTTTGGCACCGACTGCGACTGCGACTGCGACAGCGACAGGAGGCAGCAACGTTGTCAGCGCCGTGTGCCAGTTGAAGCAGAAATGTCGCAAGACAAAGTATCGTTCAAATGAGAGCTGACAGCTTTGGCTAGCGGCATTGCCGGAGGCATTACCTGAGCACCGGTTAGCGCCCACCTGGACTGCACTGTGTGCGTCATTAGTGTGAAAGGATTCTTAATTTTTAATCGTGGTTCAAGTCGTATGCTCTGCCGCTCTCTGCTGCTTGCTCTGCTCTTATCGCAGTCCAGCGTCAACCCTTAGTTGCGAATTGGATTTTGTTGGCGCTGCTTTTGCTATTGCTGTCGGCCCTTGACAATAATCATTTTCATTACAGCAAAAAGCCAGCAGTGGCAGCAGCCAGTTGCAAATGATGGCAACACAAGGCTGCCGCTGCAGGATGTGTAGTTTCAATTTGATGTTACTGCCAAATTCGCAAAACAAACAAACAAACAAACAGCTGCAGCGCTCGCGCGTTTTCAAGGCGACACAACGCCAGCAACTCCCAGTGGGCGTGCCCCGTGGCAGCGTTTTGTAGCTACTTCTATGTCTTGCAGGGCGGCTGACGACTGTGTGGGTGGRTGGGTGGTGTGGGTGGACGGCTGAATGCAGTTACTGTCTTTAAGACGTGCACTTGCTCAAGTGGAAATGAATTGAACTCAGGCAGCGCCGCCAGAATCCAATCTCATTCTCTTGTCAACTTAACCCCGGCTGAGACGTCAACGACGTTGCGCCAATTGTTGTCTGTATTTGTGCATTTGAAGCTGCTGCTCATAGCTGCTGATGCCATTGCCTAGCTACCGAGCTGCTGGCTTCGTTTTGTCATCAGCAGAGCTGAGGAAAGCAGCAGCAGCAGCAGCAGCAGCGGCACTCGAAGCAGCAGCCATTTAGCGACTGGGTCGCACAGTGGGAGCCAACCGATCGTGCGATAAGAATATGGCTTATTTCGCTATTTATATTCTGCTGTTCCTTGAACAGTATTTAAATAGATAAAGTCATAGATGAATGAAGGCTGAATCCTATTCAATTCAACTCGCGAAAACTCTGAATTTTCACCATAAATATTGTTGTCTTTGTAAAATCCAAACAATTATTTATCTGAAGCTAAAAGAAACTTGCTTTTATCAACTAAGAAGCCAACAACAAATTAAGCAGAAATGGAATAAAGTTTCGTTTACAACTGAATTTCTGCATCGATAAAATATTTTTTGCAGAATGGGACAAAACTTTGTCCACTGTCTGCCGGCTCGTTGTTTGGGTCGAGGTCCGTTTGTCTGCTGCTGCTACTGCTGCTGCTCGATTTTTACTTTAAACAATAGCTTGAGCATTTCTGATTGTCAAATGTTTGCAGAGATAACATTTACTATTGCGGATTTGCAGTCAAGCGCAGGAGATGGTATTCTAACGATGGCGACGGAGCTGCAAGTGCCGTAAGCGATGTTCGCTCCCTCCTCCCGTCCCCTTCGTCTGTGGATGCGACACAATTGCCATCAACTGTCGTCTTCAGGCGTCTGGCTGCTAGACAGGAAGCATCAATTTGTAATGATCCTATAAGTGCTTCTTGTATTGTCCTTTTGTGTACGGCTCTCGATAGCTCGCTGTAGAAGCAAATGTATTTTTAATTGTTTCGAGCAGTTAATCAAATGGCAATTAGTTATCTTTACGCTGCATACTTAAGCGCTTACAGCAGTTAGGGAAAGCGAAATGTAGTAACTTGTGTTGTTTATTGATAAATATTATAAAACAATTAACATGAAATCAGAAATTGAAGAAAAGCTACGGAAATCTATGTTTGGTGTGGATATAATTTTGGGACATCTGCACAGAGTGAATTTTCTTTTCAAACAGCTTGTACGTTTGGCTCTTATTGGAGCATGTCGTTGCAATCACATTTTCCGGCTTTCATTACACGTAATTCCTATTAATATCGCCGTAGTCCGACCAAATTAGTCATTTGCATTGTACCGCAAGTCGGTCTGCCGTAGCTTTCGTTCGAATTTTCTGTGCATTTTACGCTAATTGAAATCTCAATCGAATTACATGACTACATGGCTGGCCCAGCGGCCCCCGATCACGCCCCTTGGCCCTGCTGGTTGGCATAAAAGCCAATGAAAATATAATCACATTTATGCAGTTTTTATGCCTGCTGTGTAAATATTTTTGCTGTAAACACGCGGCAGCCGGGGCACATGTCCTGTTGACGCCATCCAACAGCCAGCAGCCAGCAGCTGAGCTCTCATAACGGGGCTCACACACACAACCAACCACTCAGATACATACGTACATAGAGAAAATTCGCTGATGCGGCGTCCATGCTGCGCATCCTGTGCACTGCAGTCAGTTAGCCAAGTCAGGCAGCCAGTCAGTCATTCGGTCTGTCGGTTATTTCGATTCCATTTCGAGTTCATTGAATTTGCGCTGATTTCTTTGCTTTTTGGTAGCTTTTATGCATATAAAAATTGCATTAAAAAAAGATTGTAGCATAAATTTTATGTAGCTATGCCAACAGGCAAAAACACAATTACGTTTATTTATTGGGTGTGTGAGTGTGCGTGTGTGTGTGTGTGTGTGTGTGTGTGTGTTAAAAGGATGCGCATAAATGTATAAACTTATTTTTGATTTAATTGCATTTGCTATACGGGCTGGCAGAGTGGACGCCGGGTCGTCTGCCGGCCCACCCGACGTATACGTAATTTAATAGTTTTTCAATTGCTGCGTAATTGGTTTTAGTTAATATTGACAAGCACAGTGGGCACAGCTGTTGCATTATTAATGGCCACGAAATGTGGCGTTTCCGGTTATGGCCAGTGAATTAATAGCCAACAATTCAACGGAAATACGCGCAAAGTTCTGCTGACAATTTTTACTTTGATAAACGATGTGCCATGTGCGTATGTGTGTGTGTGTGTCTGTATGTGTGTATTAGTGGTCTGTGTGCGTAAATGTCACGTTCGAGCGATTAATAATGTGATTTTTTCTTGTCTCTATTTGCAGTTCAGCGAGCAAACGCCAAAACTACAAAAGGTAAATAAATTTTCGCCTATACTACGTATATTTATAGCCAGAACGTGTTAAATTTGACAAGCTCAACATATCGGGGCCAAAATCCAATGCCCAGGCATGGCTGATTAGCCCAGCCATAAAGTTGCTCTACTCGCAGAGCTGGAGACAGAAGTCCGCCAGCATAAGCCAGTGACAACGTGAAACTTTTAACGAAAACTGACAACCGCAATGAGCAGAGTGTCATAAATCCATAACCGAGCGTCAACAACATCAACAAACATTTTGTTTGACCTACGACATGTGAGTGGAACGTGAAGCGACGCCACGCTTTTGCCGGCCAATAACCCCCAATAGCCGCCGACCCGCCATTGGGGGATAAACAGCGCTAGACGCCAGCCAGCCCCCCATGTCAACCGCAGGCCGACGTATCGGACAGAATGGGACAGCACATATCACTGAGGGCATGCCATGAATGGGGCTATGAAAGATTGACTGTCCCTGTACTCTGACAAGCACTCAACTCGGCTCCACTCTACTCCACTCCACTCAACTCTCAACTCATCCATCCAATGCCGCCCACTTGCTCTGCAGCGAGTGGCGCGATGTCGCCTCGCGTCTGTCAGATAAAATGAAGTATTTGGCGAGTGTGCATGTGTGTGTGTGTATGTTCAAGACATGCGGAAAAACAAAATTCTTTTCAAACGGCAGCCGCAGCAGCTGCTACAGCAGCAGCAGCTGTAATAACAAATAGCAACAATAACAACAACATCATTGTTAGTGTCTGTGTTCGAAATTTATCGATAATTCGTCGCGGTTGACGCGCGCGCGCTTGCTCGCAAAAACAATGGCGCATAAATTCATGAGCTCCCAAACCGCCCGCAGCGCCGGCCATCAGTAATAATCATATATTAAAATGTATAAATTTATATATATGTAGATACAGCGTTCAATAAT